CTAATGGCTCTCACCTGCGCTTATAAGGAGGGAGGGCTCTCTCTAACCCTACCTACAAGGGGCGGTGCTCCTAACCTAAGTGCCGGCTCTCACATAATGTTTGTGTGTAAGCAGAGTTTAAATGCTGGGAAGGGTAGAGGATGGGTTTAAAAAGAATGTTGGCAAAAAAAAAAACTGTTATTGGATCCAGTGGAGGATGGTAGAATAGGCAAAAAACTAAAAATGAGTGAAAGTGGATTGTCTCAAAACACACAGCAAAGTTTATGTCCTTAGTGGTTTTCAAGAACTGAACTTATTTGCTGAATTTCCAGCCATTACCAGACTACACATATGTTCACATTATTTAACGGACCACTATGTGCAATAGGAAAACATTTGTATGGTTTAACACGGAGGAGTACAACTCACACTCCTGCCTTGCTCTCCTGTAATTTACATGCAGGCAACACGCCAAGTTCAACTAACTGAAACAGGCAACGCTTTGCATCTTTGACCTCATTACCTTGTTGAATACCTGGGACTAATTTAGCAGAGGATTCTGGTGAAGATAATTATACATCACTTTCTTGAGATGCAGCTTCCTTCCAGAGGCTTGACATGAGCTCAGTGGTGTGAGGCTTTAAATTAACAAACTGTTCTGCTGCATGCTCTTTTGTTTCTTTAACTTTGTTATCGGCCCGGCATCTTAGCTGGAGCTGTTGAGCGAAAAGAGCTGTGCTTTTGACTGACAGGCTGAGTATATGTGGTTCTTTAAGGTTTTGAGCCCTGCTGATGTTTCAGATTGACAGAGACATGAAGTGCACCGTTTAGTTCTCCTGTACAGCCCGAGGCTACAGTGTCATTTTAACAGCGCTGGTGGACATGAAGCTGGATGCATTATAAAGCAGCACGAACAACACCGGGAACTTGGGCCTACATTTATTGGACTAATCAGTATTCTGCACAGGAGCCAAGATAATACAAGGTGCTGTTCCGTCTTCTTATCTTATAACTTCCTTAATCACAGAGGAACGTAAAAAATCAATAACTCCGAAGCTGAGACCAATATATCACTGTCCAAATTACAGCTCAATATAGATTAAAAAACTCACACAGCACTGAGACCATCGTGTGACAGTAAAACTTTAAAAATGAAAATAATCATGTGAGTTAATAGAAAAAAGTAGCTCTGAGGGACTTGCACACACACACACACACACACACACACTTATTTCGAGGCAGTTGAGGTGAAAAAAATCTGAAAGGAATAAATTTTTAAACACTTAACCAGCCATTGTGGAGAACCATGTACAAGTAAAGTTGATGTTAATATTAAACAAAAAAAAAGAAAGATAAAAAGACAGTCTTGCTAGTCTGTGCGTTAATTGAAATGCTGGGTGTTGTACATGTATATCTCTATGAGTTATCAATAATGACTTTGATATCACAAGATAAAATGAAGCTGGAAAATTTCTTGCATTTCAAAGAAAAGCCCAAAACTTTCTTATATCCTAATCTGAGCATGTGAAAGTCACTGAGGAGCACTGTGATGGCCACACTTGCAACCATCGCATCCAGGAAAGCTGGTAACCACAGTAGCCAC